CTCTTCTAAGTCCACCATCTCTTCTTCACCCTCTCGCTACCTGACTTCTCAGTATCTGCGGACTACGAGAGAGAGAGAGAGAGTTGTGACCTTGGGACTTGACGACATTGGATCCAGACTCGACATTGGGATTCAGACATTTGACGAGGGATTATTTGGGCCCTGTGCCGTAGACTTGGTGTTGACGACATTCCCATCTTCCCCTCTTCTTCGCCTAACCCCCCTCTTCTTCGTCTATGTATGGTTGGGGACTGGCGCATTCTTCCTGTGTGAGCGCCAGGCCCCTTCACACCATGGAATGATGATGATGATGTATGTTTGGGGCTGCATTGCAACATTGATTGTTCGGATCATTGGCATCTAAGTCTTCCGCTACGCTATCTTGTACTTTGTGAGAGAGCTCGGTTCTTGTTCTGGTCTGCACCGTTACGGTATGCAACACATAGCCTTGTGCTGGATTGGAGAGAGGTGTGTGTGTGAAGTGCCTTTGTGTGTGTGTGAGTGTGAGTATAGAACACTACAGCCATGCAGGGGTGGTGTAGATATCACGGCCAGTATGGTTCCACTTTTGAACGCCGCGTGCTGGCTGTAGTGGTTAACAGACCTGGCTCTTGTGACTAAGGGTGCCGGTTCGATTCCTTGTTTGCACGTATGGACCTGAAGCTAGAAAGTACTGATCGGTACCTACGTCAGGAAACTGAGCACACAGCAGAACAGCGGCAGGTCATTGCTGATGAAAATTAGTAAGCTAGCTTGATAACTGCTTGAGTGAGCGGTTAGAATCCATCCTTGAAATGGGAACTTTCTGCTTCATTCAGGGATGGGGCAATTGCAGAAATAGTTCAAATAGGCTCAAATAGCGCGTTTTCGAAGTTTCACAGCAGAAATTTTGTACGGGTCCAAAAGATCTATTTTTGCAAGGAAAGTGGGACCCCGCCTGCAAATAATTTTGCTTTGAAACTACCGGAACCTCTAAAGCTGCAATGAAAGATACATTTTTGCAACGAAACTTGGACCCTGCCAATATTTTTGCTGTGAAAATACCGCGCCGCACTATTTTTGAAATTTACCCTTCAGGGAGTGATTTTGCGGCAACAGGACAAGTTCATGATTTACTAAAACATGGTTTCTTGTGAGCTTGTAGTCAATGGACTGCTGGGTTTTGTGATGCAGTTTCTGCTACAGGCACTAACTTCTGAGGCCTTCTGTACTTCTTGACCAAGCACTTACATGCTTATGCCTTCTCCATGGGTTCATACAGCACCACATGGCAGGCTTCGCGGCAATTGAAATTGCCCAGACAGTGAGCAGAGTTTGGAACGAGATGAAAATGAAGGAGATGAAAATGGAGTGTGCTGCAAGGCAAAGCGGTCCAGAGGAGGCAACAGTTTCGACCAATGGACCAGTGCTCTTGCCATCAGCAAGGTCAATGGCTGGCAGTCAAGCACCTGGCACTGATTCAAACAACGCCTCAAGAGTGGATGCAGAGGTTTCCAATGACGGGCAAGGAGCAATGGACGCAACTGAGATACAGAATGACATTGGTACAGAATCCAGAAATTCAGGAGGTGGCATTATGCATGATGGGAAAACACAGGAAAGGCTCGCAGCTGTAGCAGGTCAAGAACTGAATGGAACAGCAGCAAAGAAGACATTCGGCTGGCGGGACTTGTATAACATTCCAGTCAAATGGCGCCAGGTCTCAGAGCCATGTGATACAGTTGTCTGGGTCGACTTGCTGAGGTGGGTGTATATCATACCTGTGGCACACCGCCTGTGTGCGAACTGCACACCTGTGGCCCATAACCCACACTGTACTAGTGTACTTCCCATGGTATGCGCACACCAGGAAATTGACAACGAAGTTAAAAAAAGTCTGAGGAACATATCGACAATCTAAAAGAAGCGCCTAAATGACATAAGGGCCCCATCTGGGCCGTTTGGCATTCACAAATGCAATCAGTCCAGATTCCAAACTGATCACCAAATTCAGATCAGCCTGCAATCTGCGCCGTTCACGCCTGCAAATGGCCTGGATTGCAGGGAGATCTGAATTTTGCATGATTGGCCTGTGATCTTGGCCTTTTGTCAGTCAAACGGCACAGATTCAAGGCCAACGTAGGAGGGCACCTCTGGCCATTGCGACGGGCAAACACCAACAAAGCCGCTGGGCGCTTTGCTGTCTGCCGGTCACTGCTGCCTGTCGCCCGTTGCTGCCCGTCCCTGGCAACATCCTCCTCCCTCCCTCGGCCAGACCTTCTCCTCCCCCCCTGCGTCCTCCACCCCACCTCCTCCTCCTTGCGTCCAACCGACCTCCTCCTCCTTGCATCCAACAGTCCTCCTCCCTGTGTCCAACCGACATCCTTTTCCCTGGGTCCACAGGAACTCCCCCCTGCCTCCACCCGACCTCCTCCTCCCTCCTTCTGCCCGACCTCCTCATGACTTCCTCCTCCCTACCTCCACACGGCCTCCTCCTCCCTCCCTCTGCACAACGTCCTCGTCCGTCCCCCCGCCCAACCTCCTGACTCCCTCCGCCCTCCCTCCTCCTCCCTCCCTCCTCCCTCCTCCTCCCTCCCTCCAGATGACTTCCTCCGTACAACCTCCTCCTCCCTTCCTCCATACGACCTTCTCCTCCCTTCCTCCATACGACCTCCTCCTCCCTTCCTCTGCACATCCTCCTCCCTCCCTCCACCTGACCTTCTCCTCCCTCCCTCCGCCCAACCTCCTGCTCCCTCCTTCTGCCTGACCTCCTCCTCCGTGCCTCCACCAGACCTCCTCTCTTCCTCCTCCATCTGACCTCCTCCTCCATCCTCCCTGCCTCCGCCCGACCTCTTTCTCCCTCCCTCTGCCTGACCTCCTTCCTCTCTCCACGTGTTTTGTTCTTGGTGTGAGCATGCTGCACATATATCCGTGCTGGTTGGATCCTATTTCTTCCTCTTGGTGTGGAGCTACTGGTTAACCAGGAGAACGGCACAAGCTATTAGCCATTGAAGGCTTCTGATCTTAATTGGTCTTTTTGCCATGTACTTTTTCCATGATACCTTAGTTATTGGGGTGTGGGTGTCTCCTCGTTCCGGTGACCATCTTCTCTGAATGTCCGGCATTGGGTCTTTTGTTTGCAGGAATATTCTGTACCCCAAATACTGAATAGTATGAGACAGAGATTGACATCCAGTTCCTGCGTGATTTGTTCGACTTCCGAATGCACTCCTTCTCTGCGGTCAGACTCTAACCTTTCGAAAAAGGAAGGACTCAAAAGTTATTTCATATGGGTCTCTGTTCACTATCTCAGGTGTATCCTTCTCATCATATATGAGGGGGAAGGACATAAAGTGTGCCGGTTCCCAGCACGTGCTGCTCCCCACGAATAGACTGGAGCATTTGTTCCATTGAAAAAAAAAAGGGAAAAAAGACATAACACATGCTTAATAGTTAGAAGTTAGGAACTTAGAACTGCCTGTCTGTGATCCAATGTGTAATCAGTATATTACATACTTGCAACCGCACAAGCCGCACATTCGTGTGGAGTTCCGTGC